TCTTTGCCCCCTAGGTGCCCCCAATGTGCGGATTTAGATATCCACACACAGGGGGTGCCTTGGCTATTAGATATATAGATGGGGACCATTGACTATAATGGTCCCCACAGGATATAATGGACCAGGAAAAAAACCAGGAATCCCAAATATTTATTGAAACCAAATACTGGTATTGGGATTCAGGAATATCAGGAAATACCGATATTTTTTGGGTTTAATATACCGAAACCCAGAAAATACTGGGGTTACTTTTGTAAACCCCTAGTTGGCAGTATTTGATGCCCCCCCTCTTTAGTAAAGCAATACTAAACTGAGTTACAACTTCTTTAGCTAATTGAAATCAGTGGATTCAGAAGGGTGTAACTCTGCTTAGGACTGCACTGTTAAAAAGTATTCCATATTGCAGGATCTCATTGCAGGAAATGTATGGGACATTTCTTTTAACTGTAATGCAAGATATAACTATATTTATACCAGTGTAACTTAATTATTTGAAAGACAACAGAGAACTATAATTCTCACTTATCTTGGGGGGAAAGTTACATTATATATAAAAGTAGAAGGTCTTTGCCAGTGATTTTTATTGCATTGAAATGGTAGGAATGTCTTATGTAGAAAGTTGTAGCTTTCTTCATTAAGAATGGAATAAATTACCTTTTCCTCTGACCATTATTGGCGAGTCCGGTTAGTTTTTCATCTAATTTATTTATTAAATTTATTCATTAAATTTATACCCCACCCTACCTTGTAAACGGGTTTAGTACTTCACATTTTCCGTTGGAATGCTTTTATATACCATTTATAAATGTAAATGGCTATTCCATTTAATTTGATTATGCTGACATAAAAACCTAAAAGTGTCCCATTCTTCCTTTGCAATGGCTGAAGACTGAGAAATTTGTTGCCTTGAAAAGTTTGGTTTCAGCATTAATTTATTTTGAAAGTGTTTTACAACCAACTATATATATTAAACAGCTTGCATTTCTGATGCTTATTGGTACATGTAGGTGGTGCTTGATTTCTATTTAGAAGGTGTTATGTGACATCTCTGGAGAGCTAGTTTTGCTGTGTAAAAACAATTAAATGGGAATGTGTGGAGACAAAGAAAATCTACCATCAATGAGACAACTCAGAATATAAATAAGAACTTTGGAAAAAAGCAGATGTAGGGATGGGACCCATAGCCCAACAGTTTCAGTTATCTCTGTACTGTCCTATTTGCTGTCAGCTGTGTCTTACATTTGAGTGTACTTGGTTTGTGAGCTGGTCTGTGCAACCATCCTGCTTGGAGGGGCTGTTTTTGTTTCGTGCCTATACAGCATCCATCTGCTTCTGTATAATGGGTCATCATACAACTTGCCAAAGTGAAAACCTATCACCCTTTGCACTAGAAGGTCTGTACTAGTTACTTGCCTCTTACCAGTCACAATTCAAAGCACTGGTATTCACCTGTAAAGCTTTGAATGGCTTGAGACTGAAGCACCTGAAGGCCTGAATTCTTGTGTACTGTCCAGCTTTCCAGTATTGACTGGTCAAAGACTGTAATAATAAACTGACTGACTAAATTCTGTGTGGCCCTGACCAGTGACAGGGTCTTTTCATGGGGTGCCTCTTCCCTCTCAAAGCTTGCCTGATGCCCATACCATTAGCTTTTACAAGCCAGGCAAAAACATTTCTCTTCAACCATGCATTTAATTAAAATTTTAGTCCATCTTTTTGCTATTTTATGTCTCTTGCCCCACTTTCCTTGCAATTCTTGTTTCTGTGGCTGCTTTTAGATCCTGATGGGCCACTTTTGTTTTTTTCTGTGTTTAGACAAACTAGGCCTACAGGAGAACCATGAACTACAGGTTAACATTGTGATATTTGAGTTATAATACTCTTAAATGGGGTAACATATTGCACCTTATGCTGGAGAAAGTGATAGCGATCATTTGTTCAGAAATTAAAGGATTTCGAATTCCCAATAGAAGTGCCTGAATAAGCAGCAGTGATCCATGTTTTGCTAGGTGTCCTTGTGCTCTTGTAGAATGAGCAGAATAGCACACATGAGGTCTAATTGAAACAGATCACAGCTTGGTACTGCGTGAATGAACTCTGAAAGAGCTTCAGGCTCACTTGCACAAGTCAAGGCTTATAGAGGGCCCACTCTGAATGGAGATGCTGAGTTGATCACTCATTTGCCTGGTGGCAATACAGGAAATAGAGCAGAAGAGAGTCCCATATACTGTGACATTGTAAGGGCTTCAAGGACAATCCCTCAATTCCTATTGGGAGGAGCACTAGAGCCCTGATATGTTTACACTCATATTGATTTTATTTTATGAACTTGCAAACCTAGTGGCTTTTGAAGTGGTTACTAGTAAAACAATCCTCTACAGAAAACTATAAGTTGCTAGCAGCATGAAATTTAAATTAAAATATAACTGATGCATAAAAGTCAATATAAAACATCTGATTCACAAAAAAGTAGGTAAATTAAACCATTCAAATGAACTGAAAGTCAGAGTAACTAGAAAGTCTTCGGCTGCGGTCACACACTAAATAATCCACTTTCAATGCACTTTCCAACTGGATTTTGCCAGTTCACACAGTAAAATCCAGTTGGAAAGTGCACTGAAAGTGGATTGAAAGTGGATTATTTAGTGTGTGTAACTGCAGCCTTCATTTTATTTTTGTAACTGCTTAGGGATTGTGTCTGAACCAACCCACTTTCCAAAATGATGCTGGACTTTTAGGGGGGGAATGATTGATATATTTCAGTGTACAGCTGTACAATGGCCCATGTATTATGCAGTTCTTCCATTTCCTAAAAAAAGGAAGTCAAATCATACTGGACACAGAGCAGGTCTTCCTTGGTGGCAGCACCATGAGTTTAGAACCAGCTGCTTAAAAGAGGGCTCACAAGGCACCACTGCATTATTAGTGAAGTTTAGAGAGAATACCTTTTTGTTACTCCAGATATTTTAAACAATGTGCAGTACTTGCTCATGCCTTCTTTATACAGTTAAATATAGCACATACCCAATTTCTGCTCCAGCTGATTTAAACTGTCTCCTCAAAGTCAGACAAAATAAAATTACAGCAACAATTTTGAAATATTTCTTAATCCAAGTCAGGGCTCTTTTTGTAGAAAAAGCCCAGCAGGAACTCATTATCATAATAGGCCACACCCAACACCAGAAACTCATTAGCATATTAGGCCACACCCCTACCAGCACAGTTCATTAGCACATTAGGATGCACCCTCATGTTACCAGAAGTGTGGTTATCCAGCCACACCCACCTTTTGCCTGTTATTCTGTTTACCTTGTTTGTTGTCAAAACCCAGGGCCTTTTTTTGTAGCAGGAGCTCCTTTGCATGTTAGGCCACACCCCCTAATGTAGCCAGTCCTAATGAATTTCTGCTGTTGGGTGTGGCCTATTATGCTAATGAGTTCCTGCTGGGCGTGGCCAACTTGGGAGCCAGCCGGAACTCCGTTCCTGTGCGTTCCTGCCCAAAAATAGCCCTGATCCAAGTGATAGCTAATCTATTTTTCCAGGTTGCCTAAACTGTGATAAATCCTGAGAATTGTGATGGAGATAACTGATGTATAGGTTGCTGGATTTGCTTTCATTTTCTGGAAACATTTTACTCTTTGGAGCTTCGGTAACCACATGGACTTTTTGTTCCCAATAATGGTTCAATGTACTGCAGAGCATGTAAGGAGAAGGGGGAACGAGACAGGATTCTTCTGTAGGGAGATGGGTTGTACCATATGTTTAAACTGGGGTGTGAACCAACATGTTGCGCTACAGGGCTGGGGTTTTTTGTTTTGGTTTGGTTTTATCCCCTAATCCATACAAATGATTTCAAGAGGTAATGGGTAGTTCACCTACCAAATTTCAAACTACTACTTCTATTACCATGCAAGCTCTTATTTTACCAAATTAAACATTGTACCTTCACTCCTGCTCTGCCACCTTTGTGCTGTGAAGAAGGGGGCATAGTTCCTCGGATGAAGAACATTGGAATGCTCTAAACAAAGTTTCAAAACAAATCAAATGGCAAATTTCATAGTGAAATGCTATTCATAAAAACTACATGGCTCGTTTTTGCTTTCTTTCTCTCTCTTTTTTAAAAAAGTCAACATCTTTATTTTAGATTTTGCAATTCAAGCAACTTTCCTGATTTGGATTTTTCCCCCAGTAAGCCCTTGTTTTTAATTGGCATATCATGAAATACATTCATTAACATTTACCTTGAACTAAAATAATATTGTCTATGATTTTCCACTCTCAGAACTGTTCATCATATTGAATGTTCATTCCATAAGTCTAACAGAGAGAAAATGATATTTGCTATACCAATACATATATAGCAAATGCTTCAAAATTAATATACGAAAAAAATTAATAAATGAATGGTGAAACTAGAGATTTTGCATGTTTTCAGGAAGGAGTTTCTTAGCATATGAAAAGTTTCCCCATTCCTCTTCTTATTTATATTTGAAATATGTGCAACATGAAACATGTGCAAATGGATATAGTTTTCAGAATATGGTTGGACACATGGCAATACTTCTAGTTCTTATCCAATGTTGTTTTATTGTTGTTTTCTAACAGTGCTATCCTAAGCAGAGTTCCACTCTTCTAAGTCCATTGAAGTCAATCAGTATAACTTTGTTTAGAACAAAACTTGAAGCTTGAAGGGCATAAGTGTGCTTAGAATTGCACTGCAAATATCATATGAAGTTCTGAATCATGGGGGAAAAGATTATATGCCAAAATTGAATCTACATTCCTTCTAGCTTCTTTCTCTGCTCTTCCTGCAATTTCTCTGTCATTTACCAGGACAGCTACCATTTTCTGAGCTATACTGTAAAGTATCTCAGTCTAGGGAACTCTCAGATGAACTCTGCATTAAAAAGGACCACCAGTTTGGCAATATTCTGCTTCAAAAAAGTGTACTGCATCTATACAGAAATGTCATCACTGTTGTCAACTTCTTGTTTTCACAGCTCATCATGTTAAAACTGGAACTTGTGAAGTGGTGGCTCTCCACCGATGTTGTAATAAGAACAAGATAGAAGAAAGATCACAGACAGTCAAATGCTCCTGCTTTCCTGGGCAGGTAGCTGGTACCACTCGAGCAGCTCCTTCCTGTGTTGATGGTGCGACATACTATGTTGTTTGTTCTTCCCTCAGCTGTTATATTCTCCTGAGTTCTGCAAAACTTGCCTTTCATTCAAGCCTATGTTGATAATGATAAGAATGATGTTGAGAGTTCTTTTTTGAGATATACCCAAGATGAATGATAGCTGGAAATTTAAAAATGAATTGCTGGGCCTGTTTCTGCATGGAGCCTCTTGAGAAGCATGATTTTATGTAAAAATCTGAATGCCTGTAGTGTTGTGTCAAATTCATTTTTAATACAGCTCCCAAAGCTACATCAGCACATTTGTTCCGTGCAGTGTGATTTCACACTACCTTCATGTTATTTTTGCTACCAAGATGCAACATAATGAGACAGAGGATTTTTAAATCTCTTTCTTTTAGTCAATTTAGCTAAACGATTTCTTTACATTCCATACAGCAGTTAGAAAGCCCTAGGGAAGGTGCAAGTATCTCTGACTAATTTGCACATTTACTATGAAGAGTTGTGAATCCCCCCCCCCCAATTTTGCATTGTCAGCTGTCATAGAAGCAGTACTAGAGTCAAAGAGCATTTTTTCTGCATACTTCTTCACTAGTTAATATTTGCAGACTACTTGAGAAATACAGTTGAAGATAAAAGGGGGAAATGGACCAGGGAAAAGAAGTTGGATCGCTAATAAATCTGAGATTGTTCTGGAAGACTTTTAAAATAGTCTAAAAGAAAGCACATGTTTGTAGATAAATTGAAATTTGCAATACCAAGACAATTCACTGGCCTTACAGTTGAATGACTTTCTGATACAAATTCAAGTAAACCAATGAAGTTATCATTTTAGCTTGTATTTATAATAATACTTGTATTTACAATATTTTTACGTATTCATTTTTTTAACCGTGTATGGCTTTGCTACTGTTTGTCTTGATAATTCAGCTATTTCTAAGGAATAATAAAATTAGTGTCTATTTGCATTTCTTCCTCTGCTGTAGCTTCTATAGTAGAACAAAAATGGTGGTGTCAAATGCAACCATGCCTTGAAGGTGAAGAGTGCAAAGTCCTTCCAGATAGGAAAGGATGGAGTTGTTCTTCTGGAAATAAGGTGAAAACAACACGGGTAGGTATAGTATTTATATGACATCTGGTTGAAGTGCTCAAAACAAATGCTGGACTGTGTAGACCTTTGCTTTTGAAGTATGCTCAAACAATTAGATGATGATAATGATGACAATGATATTTGCAGTTTCTGTAATCCAAAGAAAATGTAGTCCCTTCAAAGAGGTTAAAATCTCACAAGTCAACTGATATGTGGGGAAGAAAGTCCAAAGGAAATGAAATCCTGGTTCCCATTTTAAGTCATAGTGAGACTTGATTACATTTAAAAACTGTATTTTGCACATTCATAGAAGTAGTCTTTTGTTTAATACTACTTCACAAATTCCAGAGATTAATACTGGTAGTAAATAAACTGAATTTATCTCTGGCTTAAGAAGGAAGTGATCTAAAGAAAAAAAGGCACGCTGTTCTTGCCTTAATGTCTGGACAACTAATTTAGTATAAAAGCCATTGGTTATCTAATTAACTTAACTAATTAATTTATACTCCACTGCACATATGTAATGCTTTGTACATATGCACACTAGAAATCTAAAACTCAGTTTATATATTTAAATGTCATTACAGTTTTATAGATCCTGTAGAATTTTTTATATATATTTCTTGCCTAATTTCCCCAAATTCTTCTGTTTAACTCAAATCAAAAACAAATTCATTGAGAATCACATAAAGACTCGGCAGTATAAAAGTATGAATGTGGCTCATCAAGTGACATAATCCATAGATGCTAATGCATAACATAAAAGCAAAAGTAGTCAAAAGACACTTTATACATTGTTCAATAGCCCCAAAAGAACTAAAGTTCATACTCACTTTTAAGACCTTGTTGATCTAATTGTCAAAATTCGAAAGAACTCATAGAGATTGCACAGAGAACCAGTATTATAAGAAAAATATCTTCCTTTTGATTGGACTCTTTTATTTGACAGATGCTTATGTACTAAGGAAAAACAATGGTAGTGAAAGGGCACTGGAAATCCAGCATGATTACAATGTATGAAGGATTTATCAAAAGAAACAATGCTTGATCAAAGACAACCAACTGTTCTAAAAGACATAATTCTAGTGGTGATATATGAGAGAACTGATTCAATTATACCATAACAAACATAGCCTGTCCTCACTAAACAGTGCTTTTGGAGCTCTTCCCTGACAGAAGGTCTAACTATGAGTGAGCACATGTCACAACCCAAACTTGAGTCCCCATGAACCACTGCTCCTCTGCCAGCTCAGTGGTGTTTAGACCTGTTGGTTCCTGAGGCTCTGAGTGCACAAAAAAACAACTCTTTCCTAAAAAATTAGAAAAGGTTTATTAAGAAGAAGATAAAGAAGAAGAAAAGATTGGGTTTATACCCCGCCCTTCACTCAGAGCAGTTTACAAACTCCTTTCCCTTTCCCTCCCCACAACAGACACCCTGTGAGGTAGGTGGGGCTGAGAGAGTTCTTTAAGAACTGCCCTCTCAAGGATAGCTCTGACAGAACTATGGCTTGCCCAAGATCATCCAGCAGCTGCAAGTGGAGGAGTGGGGAATCAAACCCGGTTCTCCCAGATTAGAGTCCGCACACTTAACCACTACACCAAACTGGTTAAACAACACAGAAAAGAAACCCATTAGGCAACACAGCCTGTTTTGTCAAATACCAAAAAAAGCTGACTCTCTTTTTAGTACATTAATGCCTGTGTTAGGCTAGCATAGTCACAAGTTATCAGGATCCAGAGCCCGTGACTTGAACACTTCTCCAGGGTACCTCACAATCTGTTCCTCTGTCACATAAATCATGAAGTCAGACCTGAATCTTAATCTCTAAATCTGTTATAACCTATGGCCCCCTGGCATCAGATGACCTCCCCACCCAATCAGGAGCCATAGTCAGGAAAACTCTCTGAAAGGATGCATCATTGCACTTGCCCCCCCTCCCATCTTGAACACCAGGCTGTAAAAAAAAAGGCCATTTGCTATACTCTCAGCTCTGCCTTGTGAAAGATAAGAGCCCAACAAGTTAATTATGGGCACCTACAAAGCTGAACTGCATCCACTAATATTCCCATTAACCCTTTCAAGGGAGAAGACTGGGCATTTTTCTTCACAGTACTCATGAGTAATTCATGTACAACTGGCAATAGAAAACCCACAAAGAGCAGACCAGTTAACCAAACTATAGTTAAACCTTGCATAGATCTCTAAACATATCTCTAAACAATTCTATTTCATGAAATTGAAACAAAACCACAATTAAAAACAAGTACAAAACTACCACTTTGAAACAAAGAATTGGATCCTATAACTCCCTTGTGCTAAGCTGCATCCTACAACTGCATTCTGTTAAGAATTTCTTTCATGGCAAAATACTTATTCCAATATAGAAATGTAGAAAAACTTCTTCAGATGGAGAAAGTCTCTATTTTCTGTTGTTGGACTTCCAGAGGAACTGGTTGACCACTGTATGAGACAGGATGCTGGACTCGATGGACCACTGTTCTGATCCAGCAGGGCTCTTCTTATGCTCTTACGAGAAGTGGCCATGGGGATGGGCTCTGGTGTGGGGGCATATATCACAAGCCCCCTGGCTAGAAATTTTTTGTGTTGGGGGGGCAAATTGGGGGAAATTTGATTAGCAACTAATCTAATTAGCCCAACCCTGCTGCAAAGTGATGTACAGAGCCTTCATCCCACATCCTGCCCACTCGCAATGGGCTCCACCTGCTAGCTGCCTCTCCCTGGCGAGCCTCTTTGCCTCTTGAAATAACTGTGCCACAAACAAAACAGTCACCCAAAAAGGTGGCCCGGTGAGTGTTCCATTCAAACCCAAATGCCAGGGTGAGGAGTAGGGTACCTCAGGTTATTTCCAGAGTGAGACCAATGCGGACCCCTTTCCCCCATCTTATTTTCACCACAGATTAAGAATGGGAGTGAAAAATTTCTGAACCATCTCAAGATTCTTTCTCCTCCTCCTCATGGGTGAACCCCTCCTCCTCTTGCTCGTTCGCTCCTTAGCTAGGAACAATTTGGTGTCTCCAAAAAGAGGCACCAAATTGCAATGTAGACAGCCAGATGTGGAGCTTGCTGCCAGCGGGGGAGGCCTGCCCCCTCCCTACCAACCACTTTCTGTGTACAGCACAGCCTCGCTGCTGGCAGTGAGCTCCACATCCGGCACAGTGATTATCACCAGTCACCCCAGGCTCCCCGCTCATGGGACTGGCAGGGGAGGTGGCCAGGAGGGAGCATTGTCTCAAGGGTCCCCATGGATACAGGCCTGATCCACCAACAGATCCCCTCATAGCCTCCTCAATGGAGCAGAAATGTTCTGGAATTGCCAAGAATAAAAAGACCAGAGGAAGTTTCAGCATCTGATGGACATGTTGCATCCATGCCCCAAAATCTTCTCTCAGGAGACTTTACAGCCACACATCAAGACATCCTGTGTGCAGCCAGCTTCTCAGGAACAATCCTGCAAAGATTCATCACCTTTGTTAGCAGGTAGCTGGTAGCAGCCAACTGGCCTGTAAATTCAATCTCAGCTGTCTTCTACAGCATTCCAAGAGTGCTGGTGACCCTGGAGAACTGGGAGTGGGTGGCTGGCCTTCACCTGCTGAATTACAACTGGAGGGTGGAGGTGATTCTGAAACAACTTTCACCTGCAAGTCAGGGAATGCCTGCACCTCATTTCCTTCAGGTGTTAGTGTTAAGGGCATGCTCAATAGAGCTAAGTGCCCTCTTTGTGCTTTTCCTACCACTAAAGTGCCATTCTGGTCACTCTGCCATCTCCCATGCTGTGTGCCTTAAAATAATAATAATAATAATAATAATAATAATAATAATGCTTTCGATTTATTAATCACTTTCCCCACGAGTGGGCTCAAAGTGATTTACAGTTACACTTTTAGACAGGGGACTAACAATGTTTCATAGGGGGTAGGAAAGACAACATATAATTCATTTTTAATTGCACACGCCGTAACTGCACGGTGGAAACGTCTCTGGCTTGGATCAGTCATGTCCCAAATGGCTGCGTCGACCGGCTTGATGACGTTGGGGCTTCAGGACCCATATGTCGTATCGCCACACTGCCACCGCCTGGCCGGAGCATCCCACTGCAGGGATTTTTGTAGCTGAGTAGTTTCTTCTGCCTTCCGATCCCAACCAACAGCTAACACCTTCCCACAGGGGAGTTGGTGTGCCCACCCTCTCTAAGGAGTGGTTCCCATTTTATCTACTCACCGAGGCTTTCGAATCGCTGGGTGGACAATGAGCTGGGGACAACAGGCTGGCTGCTCATACCAGCGCAGGGCTTGAACTGACACAGTTTGGATATTAAGGATATACCCACTGTGCCACCGCTCCCCTTTTTGTTGGGGGGGTACCAATGAGTTCTGGGGTATCCTGGGTGGGGGTTTTGTAGGGCTGGAGTAGCAGTGATTGGGTGCTGGGGAAGAGGGTTGGCTGCTTCAGGGTAGGTGATTGGTTGCATTGGTAGTTGGCATCCTGTGCTTCTCCTGGCCTTTTGGGTGTGGCCATGCCAGTGGGAGACCACTCAAGTTTTTGGCATACAAGGGTGCCTATGGGCTACATTGTGTTTTTTACTGGCATCACTTTCCACTGCTGATGATAGGCATCCCCGGGTTGAAATGGCTTATGGAGCCGACTACTTTCTGCCATGCCTCCTGACCCACCCACTTCCATGCTGGTGAAGGGACCTATGCCACTGATCCACTGATGGATGGCCTCTGTGGGGCTGCAGTGGTGGCTGAGAGCAGCAGGGCAGTGCTAGGGCATTGTACCAGCTACAATGGTGTATCTCCAAAATATACCAATATAACAGCTAGCTGGTCACCCCATTTAGGATTGCACTGTCAGTGAGGCCCGTGAAGTTCATCATGAAAGATTGTGTGTTCCCAGCATGCATTTGTATAATATTTGCATATTATTTTAAGTGAAATTGGTTTCCCTGTAGGAAAATGGTAATAGATCAACCCTTATACTTAGCTCATTATTGTGTTGA